ATGTGCTGTGATTATAGGTATGAGCCTCCGCACCTGGCCTCAGATGACATTTTTCAGGGCATCCTGAGAGTCTCCTCTAAGACCCATATTGGGTGCCAGGAATTAATATGCAAAAAAAAAAAAATCTCTGCCAAACTATATTTAAAGAGATTTGTTCTGAGCAAATATGAGTGACTACAGCTCAGGTTTATACAATCTCAGGAGGTCACAAGAATATGCCCAATGTGCTTGGGTTACTGCTTGGTTTTATATATTTCAGGGACACAGGAACTGCAGGTAAAATCATTAGGCTTTTGACTGGCTAACATGAGTAAGGCTCACCTTTGGAATACTCACCTATACTTTGGAACCCTCTGCGCACCACTTTTTATTCCTAGGTCAACTTTGCTTAACACTAAAATGTTTGTAGAAAATATTATAATGTTCTTTTTCTGTTGTTGTTTATCTATATTTTTATTAATAAAGACACCAGAAAGGGAATGAGGTTTCAATATTTTATTCAACTTTTATTTCTCAGTGATGTTAATTACAGCATTTGAAGGGGAGGATCTAATTCCACACAAACTGGAAGACTCTAAAATGTACCCATTAAACTGGCAAAAAAATAAATTGAGTGGTGAGAATACAACAGAAGTCCAACTGAGATTCTGAGTGTTACCACCACGTGATTACAATCATGGCGACTCTTCCAAACTTATACCTGGAGTTCCTGGAAGCTATTTCATACTCTGGTGCAAGGGCACAAAACACAAAGAATTAAGTCCTGAATTATTAACTTCATCACATCCACCCTCTCCACCTCAAAATGGCACAAAAGAAACAGCTACCACACCCTGCAGACCTTTTAGTGTAAAAGTGATGAAGGACTGGGGTGGGAACAGGTCATGACAATCTGTCGAAAAAAGTCCCTTTCAGGTGAGGTTGTGCACACCATCAAGCAATGACCCTCTCGTTGATTAGGGTTAGGAAACCAAGGTTCAATTCTCAGGAAATCACAATTTCATTCGTGGACTCAGTATGAATTTACAAAGTGCCTACACATCATCAGCTTCCACTTGCAGCCATTTCTAGACTAAAAGGAACCTGGCATCTCTAGAGGACCACCAAGTTCCCCCCAAGTCTACAGCTGAAAGGACCTTTATGGAATTGGGTTTCTTCTGTACCTCTGAAAGGGTAACATCCCTTAAAGCTGAATCATCTTTAACCTGGAGGTCTAACATGATATTTAGCAATACTTGCATCCCAGACATATGTCATTAAAAGATACACTAAATTCTGAAGGTAGCTATGCTGCAAAATAGTTTAAAATTAAACAATTGTACAGTAGTCATTTATGCTTGAAATTCCAGTCCTAGACCCAGCTTGTGGCCACTGGCATTGATGTTCTTGCCATCCAGGAGAGCTCATAGCGTCAGTTTGATACCTGGCTTTAGGTTCTGAGTGCATCCTAAACCTAGCAGGCAGGAGTTGTTCACTTTAGCCAAGAAGCAGGCATCAGGGTTGATCTGATGATACTTGGCTGCTGTTCCAAAGTGAGTGTTGCTGTTTCTGCTGTCCAAGCAAGATTGACAGCAGTCTCCAGTTTCTTGTTAACCTTCTGGTAAATGGAGCCACTGAACTCTGTTCTGTCGTTCACATTACTGTGAAGCTGGAATTCATCAGCCTTGTAGCCAGCTGCAGAGTTGTTCTGGGTCACTTGGGATTGTGGTCTCAAAATTCATCTGGTAGCCAGCCAGCCAGCCCTCATGACCCAGCACCACAGCGCCCCAAATTGAAGGCCCAGAAATGTCAAAATCCACATAGCAGCCCAGGTTGATGTGCTCCCACTTGTACCCTGTCTTGATTTTAGCATTTTATTCCCCAGTGCAAGGTGAGAGGGATAAATTGAAGGTCAGCTTCAGTCCATGTGTAAGTTGATCTTCCACAGTAATCTTAGTGCCTAATGTGTTGTCCGTGTTCCATTTCTCTGTAAACGTCAGGCCATATTCAATCCACTTGCACTTGTTCTCCAGACTGCCTGTCACTTTGGTGATCTCAGTGTTGGCTGAGCCTAAACGTGTAAATTCCAATCCATTCTCGGATTTTGTTTTCAAATCAAGTTTTATTAAGCCAAATCCGTAGCCGTTGGTGAAGATGTCCCAGGCAGATTTTCCAAGATCAACGAACATGGGAGGTACAGCCATCTTCTGCTCAGAGGTGGTGGCGGGGGCCCATGGCGGTGGAGGGCTCGGTAGCACAGAGGAACCAAGGCAATATTATAATGTTCTAAGAACAACACAACAAGCACCCAGGGACATACTGCCCAGAATTGATTTAATTAGACTTCACCCTGATCATATGCCAAAGATTCAGCATCTCAGCAGCCTCTCCCCACCAGCCCTGGATTCCAGCTCCTGGCTGTCAACATTGGTTGCTGCTGAGCAAGACTGCAGGGCAGTACCCGTGGGAGACGTCTTGATCTTCCCAGATCTGGTCTCTCTCCAACATCCTCCCAGATACTCTTGCCAGAAACTTTGCTGTTGTCCTTCAGCTTGTTTTCATTTTCATCACCATGTGAATTATTCTAACTCCTGCCATTTCTGCGCCCAAATGTGCCTCTAGGTGGTCCAGTTCTCACCATCTTGACGACTTCTCTCTGTCCAAGCCACAGCTCTCTCAAGAGCTGCTGGTAGCTTGGGCAGCTCTTTTGTGAATACAGTGAACCCCCTCAAGTAATGCAGCACTCTGGACACAGAGCTTAGTAGGCAAGCAATGTCTTTGTGCACATGAGAAAAAGGTGACTTTTCCTTTGGCTTGACTCAGTTCTGTGCCATGGCTCAATTTTAGTTCCCACGAGACGTTCTTGTGCAGTCCGCACCATGCATCTCTCTACTGGGGACCCTTCAGTCCCCTGGGTGCTGTACTAATCACTGGGGGGAATCTGCTTCCATTCCTGTCTCCTCAGATCCATTCTCCACCTGCAACCAGAATAATACACACACACACACACACACACACACACACACACCTTGCACATATAAATGGCCTCCCCTTGCTCTTGGATTACAGTCCAAACTACCTAACCTGGATGATGGGCCCTGCACGGACAGGCCCCTACCACCCTCAGCTGCTCCCTCTCTCAGCAGCCATGCTGGCCATTTTTGCAGAAGGTTTACCTTCATTCTTCCTCAGGTCTTCAGACTTCTGTTCCTCAGCCTGAAACGCGCTCCTCACTCTGCCTTGCTCAGGGCTACCTGCACATTTCCCACATGTCCTCCCTGGAAGACCTCACGATTCTCTCCAGGAGCAGCAAGTGCATCGCCACCCCACCCGCCTCTTCACAGCTGTGAGAGGTGTGCACCTGTCTCCCAGACAGTGACAGTTCCAAGGAGCTCCTAAATGAGAGGCTGTAGGTCTGCCGGCTTCTTTGCTTAATCTCAGGTGTCCACATGCCATCTGGCCCACAACAAGCTTTGGCTAAATATCACAATAAATACTTCATTACACTGCAGAGAGCCCTGGGCATATAAAGCCAGGGGCCTACCTGATCTGTGAAGATAGGGCCCGTGGGAAGGAGTGTGAGCTAAATTTTTGAAGGAAAGCCACCCTTCCATAGCATGCATGTTCCATGGAAAAGGGATTTTTCTGTTTTGTTTTGCTTTTGCCTGTTGAGCTACTGTTATATCCTCAGTGCAAAATAGTGAACCCTGTTATGGCATGGACTCTTATCAACCAGAACACGCACCAGCCACACGCCATGCCATGCCTGTCAGCTGTATGCCGACATGGTTTGAATGGCACCCAGATGCGAGAGGTGCATCATACACAATTGTTGACTGAGTGAATGAGCAAAAGTGGAGGCGGGTGAGGAGTGTAGGAAACTGTCAACAGTCAGTTATCCTGAACCATGAAAAGCCTTGGCAGGGAGAAGCCTAGCTGTGAAAACCCTGGTTGCTGAGCAAGGGAACTTGGCCTCTGGCCAGCGATGACGGAGCACAGGGTGAATGGCACTGTTCCCAGGTCCTAGAAGCTGCGTGCAGGGACCAGGGTGGGTCTGAGGGCACGGAGTGTGCCAGGCGAAAGATGCGCCAGACCTGATCTGCCACAGCAAGGGATGTGGCAGGCCTTCCATAAGGGGGAGGACCCTGGGCTTTCCCAAGCCTTGGGCGGTTCTGGACCCTAGGTCCTCTGTATCCCCCACCACTATGCTCATTCCTGGTGACCATGAAGGAGAATGCACATTGAACTCTGCTGGGTCACAGCCCAGCTCTTTGACCCCGAGGTTTATGATTATTAAGCATCTGGCAGCCAGCCAACGAGGCAGCCATCCAGCTGCTCCCCAGAGGTGGGGCAGACTTGAGACAGTGTCTCCTGTGTGCTAGTCAGAGGCTGAGAGTGAGGCTGCCCTGGACACTCAAGGATCTACAGGTGAGGTGACATGAGGGGAGGGCAGTGCTTGACTTTTTTGTCACCTCAGCAACTTAAATACTTCTAATTAAGAAGGAAGGATACTTTGATGAAACTTATGTTTGAACATAAGATTTCTGCAATGTATGGTCCCTGGAGAGGTACCAAAGGGCTGCAGATGTCACCCCTCTCCTGAGAGAGCCAGGAAAAAGGAGTATGGAGAGGAAGGTACTTTATCTATCAGTGCTCTATGGAAGTTACTGTATTAGATTCTCAAAACAACCCTAGAAAGCAGGTTTTCTTTTGTGCTCTTCTACAGATGAAGAAACAGAGAGGTGAAGTGGCATGCCTAGATCACACAGCTAGATGGGCATGGAACCGGGATTCAAATACTGATCTTTCTGACTCTGTCTTTTCCCAGTGGGGTGTCTGCTTTCTGATGGGCAAAAGCAGAAAGATGGAGCCCTGAGCAGGCCTCCCCTATTCCTGTGAGGCTGTGAGCAATGGGGGCATTCATGTGGCTTCCCCTCTCTTTCCTAGGGCTGCCGGCAAGGTGTGCAGGTACCCTAGCTCTCTCTCGTGGACTTTGGGATTTCAGATGCAGAAGCCTCCCCATGGCTCCTTATCACATCCGCAAATACCAGGAGAGCGACCGCGAGTGGGTCCTGGCCTTGTTCTCCAGGGGAATGACCGAGAACATCCCTACTAACTTCCGCCACTTGCTGAAGCTGCCCCGAACGCTTGTGCTCTTACTTGGGGGGTCCCTGGCTCTACTTCTGGTCTCTAGCTCCTGGCTCCTGGCACTTATGTTCAGCCTCACCCTCCTGTCTGTCCTGTGGTTCCTTGTAAAACATCCCTGGGAGAAGTATGTAGACATGAGTTTGCACACAGACATGGCTGACATCACCAAATCCTACCTGAATGAATGCAGCTCCTGCTTTTGAGTGGCTGAGTCTGAAGAGAATGTGGTGGGCATGGTGGGAGCTCTGCCTGTGGACGATCCCACTCTGCAGGAGAAGAGGTTGCAGCTGTTTCACCTTTCTGTGGCCTCTGAGCACCGTCGTCAGGGGATAGCAAAAGCCCTGGTCAGAACCGTTCTCCAGTTTGCCCGGGACCTGGGTTACAGTGAAGTTGTCCTTGACACCAACTTGATGCAGTCCTCTGCCATGGCCCTCTACTGCGACATGGGCTTCCAGGAGATAGGCCAGTCCTATTTCTTGATGAGTGCCAGGTTAGTGGATGTTCCTACAGTTCATTTACTCTACCGCCTCCCTTCTGCTCAGGCAGGGGGTCTGTGATCTCCTGACTTGTGTATTAGTCAGGACAGGATCCACTCTGCTGTAGCAACAAGCAAACCCTTGATCTTTCAGTGCTATAACACAATAAAAGTTTATTACTCATCTGCATCTGAGTCCCACATGTTTGGTGATGGCGTGGCCTATGGAATTCTGCTCCTTTCAGTCTTTTTGGGTCTCCTTCTCCTAGTAGCATAATAATGCTACATATGGGCAAACCATAAGTTAATAATAAGCATTTACCTAGCTGATGAGTCTTTGTGTCAACGATTTTGGCTGGGCAGCTCTTCTGGTTTCAGATTATGTTGTATAAATACTGTGGGGTTGGCTGAACTGACAAGGGCTCCAGGGCCCTTATATTGTCTATCAGGTTAGCATAGGCTGGCTTTAAAATAACTTGGTGAGAAGCAAAAGTAAAAGCAGAAACAAGCAAGTGCATGCTCGTTAAAAAAATTTATTTCAATAACTTTAAAGGGTACAAATTATTTTTAGTTACATAGGTGTACTGTAAAGTGGCTAAGAAGGCTTGACTTCTGTGGGCAGTTCTCAGGGGCCAGATCCCAGGCCAGGAAAGAACACGGCCACCTTCACTCACTCCAGGGGCAGGTTCCACTGCTGCAGACAACTCTGGCTTGGGGCAAGATGTGGCAGAGATTCTGTTGCTGAAAGAGCTTTTGAGTTCTGAACATGGATTAGCCTCTAGTGAGGGAGGGGGAACAGGGAGGTGCTCCTGGTTACCTCCACCCCCCTTGTGAATGCTTCTAGGCAACAGATGGCTCTGCCATTCCACCAGGGGCCCATACTCTTGCCAGCCCCCTAGAGTGCTCACCGCAGACCAGCTGGTTCCACCCACAGGAAAAATGTTGCTATGGAAAGAAACTTTGAGTTCTGCACATTGACAGCCTTACACAAAGGAAGGGGAGCCAGGAGCAATGGAGGGTTTGTGCCTGTTTTCCTGGCAACCCCTCTCTCCCTGTATGAACTCTTGTACAACCAAAAAGGCTCAGCCAGTACCACAGTGTAGCCACAGTGGCCAGGAGTTCCATTTTTCACTGGCGTAACCAATCATGCTTGCAGGGGGGTAGCTGGAAAGAATCCCGGTCTGAACTAGCCCTCACTGACCAGCTTTCTCCTCTACTCCAAACCCCTTAAAATCCCAGGGACTGGACATTTTGGGAGTTCCCATAACCCTAACCATCACCTGGGTCATCTGCATACTTCCCTGGGGAAAGCAAAAAGCCCACAACCACCATTACAGTTGGCTGTTTCCTTCACATGCCACTGCCTGTTTGGAGGCCAGCTGGCAGAGCCATTACATCTGAGACAAGTAATGGAGATGAGGACAAAGCCCATGCCACTGTACATCTCAGCAGACCATTCCATAGTCTTGAGACATCAGAGGGCTTCTCTACAGGATCTTCCAAGGATGTTGATGACCAACTCCCCTAGAATTCAGCCCTTGTGTCTTAACATCATGAGACACCTTGCAGACACACTCTAGCACCAGCCAAATGGTGGCAGCCTCCTAGGGCAGCTAGACCCAGAAGAGCAGCAGGACCCACAGTGGTTGGGCCCTCACATACTACCACCCCCAAGGGAAGGAGGAGTGCAACACAACAGGGGAGCCTCTGTGAGATAAAAACAATAAGACAGAAACATAAGAATAAAAATAAAAAATAAATCCCACAAAAGGCCACCCAACAGTAGTTACCTTATCTAACCAAAAAACAACAAAACAACAACAAAGAATAAGAGGAGAAGAGTCTGTCCTCACAGATGAAGAAGAGCAGCAATCGCCAAAGCCTTAAAGAGGCATTACCCACAAGAGGTCCTCCCAGTTCCCAAGCAATGGAACCCATCCAGAATGACCTATTCCTGATGACAGACATAGAATTCAGACTGTGAGTAGAAAAACAGCAAAGGAAAGTCACAAGAAGGTTGAAGCACAGAACATCCCCCAACTGAAAACAAAGCAGGAAATAAAAGCTGAGTTGGTCAATATCAGATAGGTCCAATATGAAATCCTGGAAATGAAGAATTCTTTCCTGGAATTTCAAAGCATAATGATAGGCCTGAACAGTGTAATTAACCAGGCAGAGGAAAGAATCTCAGAGTTTGAAATACCTAGTCTGACAAAAACAATGAGAAAAGGCTCAAGAAGAATGAGCAAAGCCTATGAGAGGTTTGGGATTATGTAAAGAAACTAAATCTACAGCTGACATCCCTGAGATAGAAAGAGAAACTGAGAACATGCTGAAACAATCCTTCCAAAAGGTCCTCCCAGAAAATTTCCTCTCTGTCACCAGAGAGGTGACTATGCAGATGCAAAAGATCCAGAGAACTCCTGCAAGGTATTACATAAGAAGACCATCCCCAAGACACAAGAAAAAATCCTAAAGGCAACTACAGAGAAGGGACAGACCACCTACTGGGGAAGACCCATCAGAATTGCTCAGCAGAAACCCTACAAACCAGATAAGACTGGAATCTCATCTTTAATGTTCTATTATTATTATTATTATTATTATTGAGTTGGAGTCTTACTCTGTCACCCAGGCTGGAGTGCAGTGGCAAGCTCATGGCCACCCCAGTGTTGAAATGCTGGGCTCTGGCAATCCTTCCACCTCAGCCTTCCAAGTAGCTGGAACTACAGGTGTGTGCTACCACGCCTGGCTAATTTTTCATTTATTGTAGAAACGAGGTCTCACCAAGTTGCCTGGGCTGGTCTTGAACCCATGGGCTCAAGCAATCCACTCACCTTGGTCTTCCAAAGTGCTGGGATAACAGGGTGAGCTGCTGAGCCTGGCCATCTTTAATGTTCTTAAAGAAAAGCTATTACAGCCAAGAATATCTACTCTATCTAGCTAAGCTTCAATAATTAAGAATTAAAATCCTTTCCAGACATCCATTCCTGAGAATATATTCTAAGCACAGAAATGAAAGGATAGTTCTATCCATCACAAAAGCACAGGCAAGCACTGAGTTAACATTCCATATGTATCAACTACAAAAACTAAAAATGCAAAGCAACCTCTTCATAGCAATATGACATGAAAAAGAACCCCATATATTCATAACTAAGCATGAATGGACTGAAAATGCCACTCAAAAGGTACAGAGTAGCAAATTAGATAAATAAACATGATTCAAACTTCTGCTGCCTTCAGGAAACCCAACTCACTGCAGACATAGGCTCAAGATAAAGGGCTAGAAAAGGATCTTCCAGGAAAATGGAAAACAAAATAGAGCAGGAATAGCTATTTTTTCAAAAAATACTTTAAACCAAATAAATAAATAAAGTTGAAAAGAACATGTAGAACACTACATAATGATAAAAGGCTCAATCCACCAGCAAGAAATATCCATCATGAATATATATGAACCCAATATAGGAGCACCTAAATTTATAAAACAATTGCTCATTAAACTAAGAGAGGATATAGACATCCATAAAATTACAGTCAGACTTTAGTACCCCACTAACAGCTTTACATAGGTTATTGAGGCAAAAAAACTAACAAGTAAATCCTAAACCTTAACACTTGGCCAATTGGACCAAGTAGACATCAACAGAACATTTCACCCAACAATCACAGAATATACATTCTTCTCACTAGCACATGGAATAGGTCAATCACATTCTTGGGCATAAAAGTGTTAACAAATTTCAAAGGTCAAACTCATACCAAGCATTTTCTCAGACCACACTGGGATAACAAAAAATATCATCACCAACAGAATCCCCCAAACACACAAATATGTGGAAATTAAACAACATGCTTCTGAATGACTTTTGGGTTAACCCAAAAATCAAGACAGAAATGAAATGATTCCTGGAAACAAATGAAAACAAAGACACAACACATCAAAACCTCTGAGATACCATGAAACTGAGGCTGATAGGGAAGTTTATAGCATTGCACACACATATCAAGAAAATAGAAGGACCTCAAGTAAACAACCTAACATCACACCTAAGGGAGCTGAAAAGTTGAGAGAATCCAGTCTTAGATTTAGTAGAAAATTGAAATTATTAAAATTAAATCACAGTTGAATGAAATAAAATCCAAAACATGATAGAAAGGATCCATGAGACAAAAATCTGGCTCTTTGAAAGGGCAAATAAGATTGATGGACCCCGGCAAGATTGACTAAAAAAAGAGAAAGTCCAAATAGACATGATTAGAAATGAAAAGGGTGATGCCACAACTGACTCTAAAGAAATTAAAATGTTCATCAGAGATTACTATGAACATCTGTATGCAAATAAACTAGAAAATCTAGTGGAAACGAGGAATTCCTGGCATCACATAACCTCTGAATCTTGAAACAGGAAGAAATTGAAACTCTAATCGGACCAATAACAATCTAAGAAATTAACTCAGTTATAAGAAACTTCCCCACCAAAAAATGTCCTGGGTCAGATGATTTCTCAACTGAATTCTACAGGAGATACAAGGAAGAGCTGATACCAATACTACTGAAAGTATTCCAGGCTATTGAGAAGGAAGGAATTTTCCCTAGTACATTCTATGAAGTTAATATCATCCTGATAACTAAAAATGGCAAAGACTTAACAAGGAAAGAAAACTAAAAGCCAATTTCCCTGATGAACATAGATACAAACATTTTTAAACAAGATTCTAGCAAATCACATCCAATAGCACATTTCAAAGATCATCCATCATGATCAGGTAAACTTCATTCCCAGAATACAAGACTCAACATATGTAAATCAATACATGTAATACATCACATAAACAAGTATTAAACCCCAAACCATGTGATTGTCTCATTAGATGTAGAAAAAAAATTCAATAAAATCCAACATCCCTTCTTGACTAAAACCCCTGAACACCTAGGCATTGAAAGATTATTCCTCAAAATAATAAGAGCTATCTCTGACAAACAAACCTGCAGCTAACATCATACTTAATGGGCAGAAATGGGAAGCATTCCCCCTAAGAACTGGAACAAGACACAACACATCAAAACCTCTCTCA